GAACGAAGTTCAATGCCAACGTGATAAAACTTTCCTCCTGGCGTGCTGTTGACATACCAGTTAGACGGGCAAGCGACTCTCTTCTCTACAATTGGCCGCAACTGGGAGTCCGAAAAAACTGCAACCTGCTCATTTAAAAAATTCAAAACTTTCACATGATACGCAATAAATGCAACAACATTTTGCGTAAGGCTGCATAGAGTTATTAAACTGGTTACGCAGCATGCCGACAATTGTACCAAGTTTTGATTGTTGTCACATTTCTTATGATATACTTTCTTTGCATTACTTGTCCAGAATTTAATTTTCGGAAATAGATTATGGAAAGGGGGAAAAGGCGAAAATAGGAACCAGTATCTGCCTAGAATGCTAATAACCTGACTGACAGATTTGTACATAAGCTTCGCGTCTACAACGAAAGTCTAACATTAAAAACAAACTACACACTGTAATTTTTTCAAAACGGTAAGTAGATCAATTAAAACGTTTACTTACGGTATCGGTATTGAAGCCCTTCTTTGGTAGCAAAAACCTGTTCTGCTTGCCGCTCAGACCTTCCGGCCACTTCGAGGCGGGGGCACGCCATCCTGTACCTTTAAAGTCTTCTCCTTTAGGGACCCATTCCTTTGATGCACTGCCACACCGCAACGCGAGATAATTACAATCTTTAGCTAAAACCTGTGTACTCATTGTCGTTCCTCAAGCAGAAGGAAGGGAAAATGCACTAGCACTGAAGTTTAAGGAGGAACTTTATTGCTAATTGCGCAAGACCAGATATGAGCAATGGGATATCGTCACCAATTTAAGAATAAAAAGACACCTATCAAGAACACACCAGAAAAAGTAGACTTAACAAATAACCTAGCAACCAAAGTAAATATCACTATCAAAGATATCAGCCTGCGCTGCATAGATCAAAATCTAAATTACGCAACTATAATTACCTGTACAAATCGACCAAAGCATCGTATATTCGAAGACATTTAGGTATAGAAATTTTTACGCAACAACAATTTACAATCAGGAAATTGTGAAAATGAATCGCGAATTATTGATCAAGATAATGTGTTACCAATCTTATTACACACGTATTTGACATTAAATTTCATCTAAACTTGAGAAGCGGCGCATTTTGGTAAGTTTTCCAAAATTCGACAGGAGGGGTACACGGAGCCGACCCTTCCAGAGACTAAGTCTCTACCGTCTCTTGGTGGCGGAGCGAAAAAAGCTAGATTCTGATTTATTTTGATCAAGATAATGTGTTACCAAACTTATTACACACGTATTTGACATTAAATTTCATCTAAACTTGAGAAGCGGCGCATTTTGGCAAGTTTTCCAAAATTCGACAGGAGGGGTACACGGAGCCGACCCTTCCAGAGACTAAGTCTCTACCGTCTCTTGGTGGCGGAGCGAAAAAAGCTAGATTCTGATTTATTTTGATCAAGATAATGTGTTACCAAACTTATTACACGCGTATTTGACATTAAATTTCATCTAAACTTGAGAAGCGGCGCATTTTGGCAAGTTTTCCAAAATTCGACAGGAGGGGTACACGGAGCCGACCCTTCCAGAGACCTCTACCGTCTCTTGGTGGCGGAGCGAAAAAAGCTAGATTCTGATTTATTTTGATCAAGATAATGTGGTACCAATCTTATTACACACGTTTTTGATGATACTTTGTATTCTTTGTAGCACATGTCGTTTCATTGAGTGTTTTCGTTTCTTCGAATTACGTGTTTGAAGATAAATTCGATTTATTTTTGACCGTACCCCCCAGCAATCATTGCTGATACACAGGGAATCCCCTGTCTTTCTGAACAAGACTTGACACTTAGTCGTGGGAGCTTTGTTTTGTGTTCACCGGGCCTATAGTGGTTGGTTTACTTTACTGAATATTGACAGAAAACGATCGGCAATAACCCCGATATTAAGTGAAAACGGATAAAGAAGAGTTGCCGAATACATGAATATAATCATTTGTTGGTTTTATTGGTATCTTTATATTTTTTTTCGCGTTTGAAAATTCGACACGTCAGGTACATATTTGACATGAGGGGTACCATTTGCATGAGAGCGACGGCTCCGGCCCACTATGGCTGGAAATTGCTGAGATTTTCTTCATGATGATGCCAGTTCGTGTTACAACCGCCCTCTTTTGAATTCCTCCCAGAACAGCATTCTTCGTACTTTATAGCAGCTTGCGTTTAAGCTGATTGTAAATAGATGTGTCCAAGATTGGTTGATAAGAACAAGGAAATGAAACTGCAATCTCGACCTTCGTCCATGGCCGAGTCGTGCAATCCAACATGGTGTTCATTCCCGCCGTGTTCGTTGGCTGAAAAGCTGGAACCGAGGCTACAACAACTTCCCCAAGGATTGCGCAGCGTCGCAGGATCGTCGGTAGGGTTCATAGGACCAGAACGGCTGGTATAGAAGGAGGAAAAATGTCAAAGAACCAACAATTTATAGGACATTTTTTGTGTTTATTTACTATGCTACATTTGGAGGCTTTTGGCCCCAATTTCCACCAAACAGTTATCCCTGGCCTTCGGCGTGTAAATCCGACGTCGCAGGGGCGAAACTACTGGGGGGGTATGGGGGGGTGCTGCACCCCCCCAATCTTCAAAAAAGCAGATTTTGTCGGGCAAATTTATGGCTGCCAGTGTTTTTTTCGGGCAAATCTGGAAATTTTCTTTAGATCGCACTTTCTTTGCTACTTTCTGCCCTAGCTTGGTTTTTTAATTCATGGTCTTTTCCCCAATCTTTTTTTCAATCTTCTCACAGTTGGGAAAACAAAACAGAAACGAGGCTAGGAACAGCAACATATATACATTTCTGTCTTTCGTCCACCGATCTGCGCTTTCGTCTCGAGCTCGACACGCACATGTTTATCTTCGCCTCGAGATGAAGTCTAAAGTATTGATCGACAGCAAAAGTATAGACGGAAAGTGAAGTGTGTTTGATGCGAGAAGGAAATTAACACTATGCATACCCATTCCCCCTACTTTTTGCAAAACAAGAGAGCTTTTTACAAAATCTTTTGTTGTGATTTCTAAATTTTCCCTTGACAAGCCCCCGCCCCACCCCTTTCCATTCTGCCTCGGAGGCCATGGAACACTGACAGTTTTAGAAGCATCATAAAATCAAAGCATTAAGGATATACCATCTCGGAATACGTTGTTGAGAAAAATCAATCAATACTTTATTTTCCAAATGTATGAAACTTTCATCATAAAATCATAAGGAGTTACACTTGCAGTTTGAAAGTATTGCCCCCTTCGCTAGAAAAGGTCAAACAGACGTCAAAGTATTTTAACTAAAAAAATTCGAATAACCTTAACAAGTAACAGAAAGTTTTAATCAGTTCAAGCGGAAAATAATATAAAATTTATCAAGAAATTGTAGTTAAGATATAAATTGTAAAAAACTTTCGAGTTTATTCTCTTTCTGAACATTATCCATGATTACAAAAACAAAAAAATTGAGCTTTAAGCATAGGTGTACCTGTAAAATACCTCCAATAAAAAACTTTTCTTTGCTTGAGGGATTTTGTTATGGTGAATTTAGAGATACGTGCCTGGGTGTTTAAAAATGTTGAAATTGCTTCCGGGGCAACCGAAAATTGTAAAGGAAACTCAGAAAATGCAACTGAAGCTCTTTTTTGTTGAAACAATGTAAACTGCGTAGCTGTTTCTAAATTCCGAAATTTCCTAACTGTATTTTGAGGTTCCACTTTGATAAAATTGAGACCCTACTTCAATCCCCTTTTTTGAATTGCTCTCTTAATAGCTAGGTGATTTAGAAAGTGAAGACTTTCTTTTCTTTTATAGAAAAGACAGGCCTTACAAATGCTTGCTTTTCGGAAAAAAAGGTTTATAGCCACCAGAAAAAATAGAGGCATATTTCTTGACTTTAAACAAACAGCCTGAGTCTAAAGACCCTCTCTCGGGCGTCGGGCTTCCCAATGATTTCAGCCCTTGAGGCGATGTGCTCTAAAAATTAAGTTCATGTATGACACGCCCTTCCATCAAGCATGCCACGCCCTTTCGTCGGGCATCTAAGCTTCATACCCCCCTAATGAAAATAGTGAAGTTTCGCCCCTACCGACGTGTAACGCACATTGAGTCAATCCCACCAGCATCTAGCCAGCACCATGTCCTTCAAAGTCAGTACTGCCTCCCTCGTTCCCTTCTGTCATCCACCTTTCCAAGACTTATTTCGTGTAAATAAACACACTGGAAAGATTTTATGAATAAAGAAATAGTTGACCGGTCTATCTTATCTCTAATAAAGCATGGTAACAATATATTGAAAATTCATTGGCCCACGAAAAAATCTACGGAAAATCTATGTTTTTCTGGCCAGGCACTCAAAAAATTTAAGAACCCCTGGTCTAGGGTATTCTTTGCGAGTTCGTGACTGATCTCCATTTAACATTGAGTAGTTTGATCTTCGATACTACCCTCTCAAAATTCCCAGCTTCCAGACACTTCGCCACAATAACTATGTCTTTATTTCCGTGAATTTCGTGCTATTTTGAATCTGTATCAAAGACAACATATTGAAAGGCAACAAAATTAGCCACAAACAATTATCATAAAGTAATTTTAGATTACTAAAATTTCACTTTATTTTGATTTTTTTTCTAAAAATCTCAGGGTATTCACTGGATACCCACTGGACACTACGCCACTGATGTTGTAACAATTTGAGTCAAGCTAAGAAAATTGGCTATAAGGGTTTCTTATTACCCATATAGGACTTAAGATAGTGCTTTGCGCTGAAAATACCTGTTCGCTCCCAAAAAACAAGGCGTTACTTTGGCGCTTTTCAGAAAATTTCCGAGATTTCTGCCTGGAACACGTCGGCAAGGGTATTTCATAATCACAAATAGTGTCAATAACAATTTTGGGGGCAGTATTGCAGTATATAGAGACGCACTGCTTTGATCAGGAGTTGTGGAAGTAGGAATATTATGTTCTGTTATAATGAAAAAACGCATTTATTGAGTGAGCCTACAGAAAGATAGAATATTGCAAAAACAAGCGCTAAAAATTAACTCAAATTCAAGACCATTGAGTTTTAAAGGCGAATACAGTAGCTTGGCAAAGAACTGCTGCATTAGCTCGAAGAGGATGAGGACAATTGGATGTTAAATGTTGTAAATTGCCTGCTGGTGGACATTCTAAAGCCAATAAACAGTCGTGAAGCAGCTGCAATCTTCCAGTCAAAATCTTGTCACAGCATTGTCTATAGTTAAAGCAGTGCGAGAGGAGCTTAAGGAACGATGTGTAAACTTGACTGAGGCCCGATGCATGGAAACGGTTGCTGATCTTCGAAAAAACAATCAAATCCACTGAGGTCAGCAACGTTCAGCGTTAAAGGGGCTTTGTTCCCCAGCGCTTTGATGATTTTGTTCCTAGTACTCTCCGTCAGAAAGTCAGTCATAAAGGCTCAAAGCTTCCAGTATTTATGAATCGTACAAGATCCTTATACCTCTACAAATGTACAGGGAAAGTTTCCTGTTTTTGAAAAATGTTGGAGGAGGTTCGTATGCAAAATTTTCTCTTGAGTGCTAAAAGACGCGAAGTGGCCAGAAGGTGGCAATCCTTGACAAAAATAGTTGAGACTTTAAAGATAACTTTTCCTCTCCCACGATTCAATGTTGGAGGAATGATCTCTAAGCCAAATTGATAGAACTACAGATCTAACATTGACTTGGGAGGAAAGAAGGGATTCAATTTTACAGGGCAACCTTGAAGAAGGAAATTGCAAAAATTGCATTTTGTTTCCTTTTGACCGGGATTGAAGCGAGCTCGAAAAGATCTAGCGACTGTATAAATAAAGTGCGCCGATACCTGCAAATTTTTATTAATGTGTATAAGTTGCATTTACTTCTGGCTTGACGTCAAGACATGAGGACTTTGGGGAGAGCTTGTTTTTTACATTAAAGGGACTGGGTCACGTGTCATGCCGCGGGCCAATGTTGTTGTGTTGTAGCAAAGATCGTGGAAGGGAGACTGGATAGGACACTGAGCTGAGAACAAAAGGCGATTATTCTCATCTTCACAACAGTGTTATCGAAAAAGTTGTAGGGTATCCTCATTTCCGGTTCAGCGTATTTTTTGGAAGAAAAGCGAAGGTCGCAGTTGATTGTGGTAGAAAAGATGGAATTTGATTATTTTGGTCCTGATATAGACGAAGAAATGCTTGAAGATTCGGCAGAGGTAAGGGTCTGTTTTATTTTTGAATTTTGTTGAATTTTAATCTTGCGTTCACTTGATCTCTTATCATTAGAAATAGGCCCAAGCCTACACCTTCACTCATTACTGATTTTTGATTCGCTCTCATCTACAGGTGACAACGATAGCATTTTGCAATGAAGACAGGATTGAGCTGCTTATTGAGGAAAATGATATCAAAAAACGGCGGAGAAAAGCGAAGAAGGGCAATACCGAATCTGATGCGCGTATCGGGGAAACAAGTAAGCCAAAATTTCACGTTGACGTCCGCGTGATGCTCAGGAATGCACTTGAAGTAATGCAGAAAAATGAAATGTTGTGTGAGATGTTTGCTAATGTGATAGGACGTTTATCAAAAATCAACTTTGAAAGTATACCAGAACTATCTTTCCTTGATGAAGTCCTTGCACAGACCGTAGACATGAAATCTTTTTCAATGGAGATGATGTGGACTTGTTTCAGCAAGGTTTGGATAAACGCAAATGTTACTGACAAGCTGATTGAATGTCTCGATGTACCTAAATACTTTTGTTCCTGGCTGTTGTTATATTGCCAAGAAGAAGTGTCAAAATATAATTTTAATGCTTCAGTTCAAGTTTCTTTCGTAGCCTCCGAAGCACGACTGAAGGAGCAAGAAAAAGAGACTGTCACATATATCTGTGGAGCAGTTTTGTCCAAGTTAATTAAAAAGGCCTATGACAATTTGCAGAAGCCACAAATAAATGAAAATGCAGAATTGGCACTCAAAAAGAGAATTGAAGCTTTAAATTGCTGCAAGAGTAGTCACTCTACTGGAGTTTACACTGGAAAACTGATAGAAACTCTTGACCGTGGAGGGCTTGTTTATCCGAAAGCTTCATTTGCTGACCTTTTTCACAGAGCAGAAAAGTTATTTCAAGATTCCGTTTCTGGTGGTGTTAAAAAAATTAATGTGGCAGCCATTGTATCCCAATTCTTCAGTCAGGAAGCAAATGGAAACTACAGTATAAGAACAAAATCAATATTCAGTTCAAAAAATGTACCTGAAAACATGCAGAAAGTCATATTAAAAGACAGCATCAAAATATATGTGAAGTTGAGAGCCCATGCCCATGCAAAACATTTGATTGAGAACTATAAGTCAACATCAAGGAAACAGAAAAAAGAAAAGGCTTTGAGAAAAAAGTTAAAATCTGTTTCAAAGGACAAAAAGTTGTAATTTGTTAAGTTGTTTTGGAGATGATAAGATCCTTTTTAGAATTATTTTACAGGATAAGATCATTTCCCAAAAATAGAATTTGTAACTTTTTTGCTTCAAATTTCTTGTTCTCTGTTCACCAGCATACCCTGAAATAGCCTCAACCACAACCATAGCCTCATGCCAAAAAACATGCTTTGCCCCAAATGTTCTAATGTTTAATTTTTTTATTTTCTTACAAATATGCTTCAATAGAGCTCAGGACAAGTTCCCTATGATGTATTGTTGTACTGATGTACCCAAATATCCACCCATATCCCCAAACTAGCATTCTAGGCCCAGACTATAAATGGATAACAATAGATGTATTTGTGCTAAACTGAACTTATTTAACTAACTGAACAATTGTTTTCCTCTCAATCACATGACAGAAGATTTTAAAAAAATTATTTTTGCTGATTTTTTAACATGACTGAGAACAGAACAATTTTTATTTAAAAACAATCCTTAAATTCCTTACAGGCTTGAAATAAACAAAATGATCAAAATAGAGGCAAGGGGACAACAAAATTCAACGCAACAACTTGAGGTCACCTGAATAAGGGTTCTAATAAGGGTACAATACTTTTAATCAGAGCAGTGGAGTTAAATGGGCACTTTTGATTAAAAAAGCTACTTTTGTTGGACCTTCCAGTGGAAAAATAGGGGGAGAAGTTGAAATAAGCTACACATATTCTACTAAAATCCCCAATTTATTCTAAGCCCAGAAAAAGTGATTACTTCACTCAAATAAATAAATATAGTGTCTATAGTATATCCACTGCTTTCACTGTTAATAATGCTGTAATATATGCGTGTTACATGGTCTTTTCTGCATGTTCTAGGTTAAGATTGCATGTGCACTACTTCATTCTTTAATGGAGTAACAACAGACAATTTTGATTAAAGATAGGCAAAATGTTAAAGCTTTAAAATGCTACATTTGGATATGCTAGCCCAATGGCAATAATGTCCTTTAAGCCTATTCCCATGTATAACCTAGACCTAAAGGGGTTCAGCATTCAGCTGGCAAAGTACTGGAAAATCCAGAATGGCCAATCGCCCTGTTGATGAACTCAAATTTGACATGTTGCCCAAAAACCTTTTTATAAAACATTTATGCTTTTGATTCATTAAAACTTTTCTCAGTAAGAAAATCTTTAAAAATGCTCTCAACACAGTTATAAATGGGGCTAAAACCAAAAGTTAATGTGTCCTTCATCAAATAACTATGAACAATCAAGGGCATACTTGGAGAAAATCTTCAATCAATTATAAAAACTACAGAAACTTAGAACAAAAACTATAACAGAGGTCCAAACAAAGGTAACTCTCTGCAACCTAAGTGATGTGTCTGTATCCTAATAACTTTATTTCTTTCTTCTTTTTAATGGACTTGTAGTTATTGTTATTCCCTCTTTTGGGCGCTTTGAACCCTTAGTGTTTCCTTTAGGGGTTATACTTGTGGCAATAGATCTTTGCACCCTCAACTTGTTCTCCTGATGACCCAGTGCATGGATAGTAGGATTGCAAGACCGTCTTCCTAAACCTCTATGTTGTCCAAAATGGTCTTCAAGGGGATCCTGGCTAAGTTTGTTCGTAAGGACATACTTGAAGCCATTTTGGAGCAGATACTGGACACATTCAATCAACGCATGAGCTGTGGTTTGCAAACCTTCAAAGGTTGCTTTGGTTAAGAACATCTTTTCTCTGTCTGCTGACTTGAAATTCCCTTTGCGGTTTTCTATGACATCCTTCCAATCAGCCAAATATTTTAGGAATTCCTCTTTCATGAATTTGAACCGTTCATCGTCCACACTTGTATATGGCTTCAAAAAGGGCTTTCGTTTCTGTATACCTTCATTTAATGACCGCGTATTGCAGCAATCAAAGAATTTATCTACAAGTAATATCAGCTTGGCAGTTTCTTTTGCCTTTGGTGTAGCATAAGCCAACATCACCTTACCTACTGTCTCGCTCATGACTTGCGCTGCTAAGTTGACACGCATTCTTGAATAAGGTGTCAAATATACATGCTCGTTCTTGATTTTGGGTAGCTTCCTGACCTCACTCAATCGATCTGCCTCATACAATGAGATCAAATGGTCCCATGTCATCTCATCATTGTTCCAAAGAAGCCTTTTTTCCCGTGTCCTGAATTTGCAAGATTATTGCGTATTGTTTTGATTAGGTGTGGTGGGTCAGAAAATAAGAAAATAGGACGGTTTTGTTCCTTTGAAAAAACATTTACTGCCTTGTAAATAATGCTACCTTGAGTGCTCATCATTCTGTAAAGCTTCTGGTTACTGCTTGCTTTATCAGACACAATGGCAATCACTTTCAGCCCTGCATATCCCTCGCATAAGCCTATAGCTCTCCATGTTAAAGGGAAAAGCATTCCTGAATTTGCAGTAGTAGTGGCAAAGTAGCCAAGTGAAAATTTGAGCCTGGTTGCAATACCACAAACCATAAACACAAGGGCACGTGTTGCAATTGTACTTGATGCATCCTTCTTGAAGACTTCATTTACCTCATCACCAAGATTAACAAATCCAACCAGTTTATTGGTACTGTTGTTGTATACAAGATCATCTTGTACAGATAGCTCATCTAGCATCAACACAACATACTTTCCGATTCCTTCAAGTTTAGCAGCCTGATGTTTCAAATCTGCATAAACCTCTCTATTGAAACCTGCTCTGGGATGAAAAAGGCTAGAATAATCCCTCAATGTTCTTTCTGATGGGAGCTTGATGACAGAGCTTTCTTTCAAGGCTTTGTATGCTGCTGGGGATCGCAGATGTAGATGTAAAGCAAACCTTATCATCATTGGGTGCCATCTCTGCCCCTGGTTGGAATGCTCAAAAGCCTTTTTCTGCTCCTTCCAAAACAAATTTTGAAAAGAATTATCAGGGAATTCTTTCACGCCACTTTCAAGGATTAGTCTGAAATCCTTATGCACTTCAGTTTCCAGATCTATTCTTTTGATGCAATTTCTGCTTCAAGCACTTTTATTTTCTCTTCCAGTTTTTTCTCTTTATCCCTTAGTGTGCGAATCGCTAAAACTAGTCGATTTTTTGCAACTTTTGTAAATGGGGCTTTTGTAGCAAGAGGTTTAAATCTCTGTTTGTCTTCAACCTTTTGTTTTCTTGCGAGGTCTTTAGCAGCAAGAGTACATGGCCTACAAGGGCTTGTTTCACAAAGAACAGAACAGTTGCTGCTATGCAAATTATGTACATGTTCTATGCCTTTTTTGCCATTAACCAAAGCCACTTTTGATGTCTTTCCAGAGGAAGAAAGCTTTAGCCCATAGACCTTTTCAGCTGAGTCTTCAATGCCCTGGCATGGCTTCCATTATGAAATTCTTTCTAAAATTACATTAATTTTCTTTTTCGAAATTGTTCGCTTAAACTCTTTGTAAATTGGATGTTCCTCGGGTATTTCCTTGAAACTACCCTCCACAACAAAACCAAGGGACTCATCCACAGTAAGCTTGATCACAACATCTCCCAGTGTATTGATACAGCCAAAAACCAAATTGTTTTCAGTGTGGGAAAGTTTTACCCAAGGAGCATTTACCTTTGACAGATCTTTCTCCAGCTCTTTAAAATCTATATACTTGTATAACACAGGTAAAACAATTTCACTGTTGCGCACCAGCTGACGTCTTTCAGTTGCCACTTCTCTCTCGTGACTCCTCAAAATAGTTGGTATGCTACCACAATAAGGTCTTTCCTTCCTGTCCTGCCTGAATACAA